GTGTCGAATAAATCTGTGTCGAATCGAGCGGTGTCGAATCGTACTGTGGTCAATAGAGTATCACCCGCAGACCCCTGTTGGAGAATGTGTGGCATCGTGTTCTCCCCGCATGTTCGGGTGGGAAAACAAGTGCCTATCCACTCTCCCCTACCCGTATCGCATCTCCGAGTTTTAGACTAGAAGGAGTACGCACCCCTGTTGGCCGGTGTGTGACGTCGGAGTCCCGTGTTCCGGGATATTTGCATCTATCCATCTTCTCTACCCGTGCCCCCGCCTCCGAGTTTTTATACGAGGGGGAAGGCGGACCTCTGTTTACTAAGGAAACGCTGCTGAAAGGCTCTCCGAGAACCGGTAGGATCCCGCAACAACGTCTCCCCGTCTTTCGCGTTTAAGTCTATATCCCTCCCAAGTTCTAATCGCGTCGCAACCTACCTGTACCCCTCAAGACCTTCTATTTCTTTTAGTATGGAGGAGGTCGATCCCTGTGCCCATCCCAACCGCGACCTTCGAGTTTTCCAGGAGAAGGTTCGACTCCCCTGTTGGGAGATGTGTGGCATCCGGACTTGCCCGCATGTTTTGGTGGCAAGTCCGGCGCCTAAGCCTCCTGCATCCATCTCCCCCTGCCCGTGCCTCTGCTTCCGAGTTTTTAGCTAGGGAAAAAGCAGACCCCTGCTGGCCGATGTGTGACACCGGGACTCCATGAATGAGGGCGATGTCGATCCACCGCCACCTACCTGTTCTATGACTTCGAGTTTTTCACTAGTGGAAGGCAAGCCCCTGTTGGCCGGTGTGCGGCATCAGAGCTACCAACGAGTGAGAACCCGCGCCTACCTGTGTCCCTGTCTCCGAGTTTTTATACGAGGGGGAAGACAGACCTCTGTTGGTGAGATGTATAGACATCCGAACTCCGGATCACGCCAGCGGAAGAGTCCGCTGGCATGCATTCCCCGCCTGCCTGTCCTAACATGATCGCCGTATGGAGACGTCGGTCCTTCTGCATGCGCACACCGATATGCACGGATGGATTGGCCCAATAGCGTCTTTTTCCTCAGGGGACGATATCCCTTGGGTAACGCGCCTTAGTGCAGGTAGATGGTATCCCTGCACTCCTACCCGGGCCTCATTGTAGAGGCAAAGGTATCTAGAGGGGAAGATGACCGTCCCAGGGGGCTCTGCCCGTTCTTTGCCCAGAAGGTCACTCCGCTCTTGCTCGCCCAATGGAGCGTAGCTGATCCTTCAGACTCAGGGATCCCGGAGCTACTCACTGACAGATCCCCTTTCCTTCAGCCAGCTTTTCCAGGAGGATTCCGCCACTCTTAGGTGGGCAAGCTAGTCTCGCCCCGCGTGGCTTCTTCAAGGAGAGAGAACGACTCCCCCCCGGCACTCCGGCTTTAGAGTATCTCCACTCCCGGTCTATTAGCCGCCGTTCTCTGGACGGTCTTCGAACCGTGACCTTTGTGCTCGTAGCAGAAGTCGGGTCTCCCATCCGAAGCCCAGAAGTGCCCAACGAACGGTTCGGACATTCTTGCCCGAAATCAGAGCCCCGTTGGCCACCGGAGGAATACTCCGGTGTTACCAGCTCTCACCACGTGAAAATGGGGATGGCTTATGAACCCGATGGTTCTTTGAGAGCCCTATCTCTATCTTTCTATCTCTCTCTCAAGGCCCGTGCGGCTTTGCTATTGAATGAGTGTCTCGGCTATTTCGGCGGATTCAGCGGCAGTTGTTGAATTGCGGCTGCCACTTTGCACTAAAGCACTTTTTCAAACAATTCCACTTGCAAAAAGGCACTTTGAGATAACTCTGTTTGCACTTTGAGACTCTGATGCCGGTGTCGGCTAAGTTGCTCTTTTCATAACAAAACTGTAAAAGAGTGAGGGAACCTAGGACCCGTAAGGCTCTTCTAATCGTAACGGAAGACTCTCTTTGCCAAGTAGAAGGATTTGAAATTTTATTTGTTGATTAGTCACCAATGACCAACGATCACCCTACTTCGGACAGTTTGCCCGATTTTTGGAGAGGAAAAGAGAAACAGTTTGGTTTTCCGATCACGTTACATAGATCCTTTGATGTTTACCAAGTGATAAATAAAAAAATTTGAGTTATTGTCCTTGATGGTAAATTCTGTTGGCGTCAGCCGCTCTAATTTTTATGAGGTCTATTTTTCTCGATCCGGGTTTGTTTAGAGAGTTGCTCGAAGATGTTTAAAGAATAAATTTTTTTCGCTAACTATCATTTCAAGACGGAATTTTTAAGGTTATTAGGCGCGGTTTCTTTTTTCGGGCGCTGACACAATTTCTATTTAAGCTCTTATCGGTTCGAAGTCCGAGTCTCGAACTTTATTCGAGTTATTTATTGTTTCTAATTATTTACTAAAAAAAAAGATTTATTATATATCGCCGCGTCGCGTTGCGAGAAAAAGGGGATTGTGGAGTCTCTAACAGAGATGCCAGAGTTTGCGGACGCTAGCAACATGCAGCAGCAAGTGGAGGGGACACGCACACAAGCGAGCAGTCACTCGCCGAAGCGCTGAACGCACACGTATACGGTTGTTCGCCTGTGTGCGTTTTGTCTGTGTATCCCTTCTACTTGCTGAGCATGCTGCTAGCGTCCGCAAACTGGCATCTCTGGTCTCTAAGGCGTAACATTTGAAGTGTTCAATAAAGACACAATGGCTGCATCCAGAAGCATAACCATTCATTGAGCAGCTAAGTAGTAGTAGTTGATTGGTTGAAATTTATATATTTTATGTACTTATTTATAAGACTTATTTATAAAACTTATATTTAAATAACTTATTATAAAGTTATATACTTTTATATAACTTTTATATAACTTTTTAATATAACAAACTTTTTTCTTTGACGAACAATTATTTTATGTATTTAAAAAAAAAATAAATATAGTTTTTCTGTATAAATGTAAAACATGCCTTTTCAGTATGCAAAATATTTTATATCTTAAGAGCATCATCATACATTTGTAGCTAAAAATATTAAAAACTTAAAAAGTGATTTTTTAAGCAACCTGTTTTGCGGAATTTTTTTCAGAAAGGGTTTTAATTATAATAATATCACAAATGTTAAATAGTCTTTTACGATAGAAATATATTCTACACTGTGTAAACTTTATCTCAGAATTTTTGAAACTTATATATATATATATATATAATTTAAGAAACAGTTTTCAAACAACAAATGATTAAAACTTGGCTGGAGTCAAATTGATCCAGTGTGACAACTGCGTTCGAAAAAAAAGTGTGACAATAAAGATTAAATTCACTTTTGTTTGCAATTATAAAATTATTTACTTATGCAATTTTGTATTGTGCAGTGAGACCTAAAGTCATGAAAGCAGCTAAAGCGCAACTGAAAGATTCGTTAAAAAGCTACATGCTCAGGCCAGTAATACGATCTGTGGAAATGGACGAGCCGTTGGAGCATCTCACAGAAATGAGACAAGTGGTTATACTTTTTATTAATGTTATTACAACAGATATAGATAAGGAACGCTTGATCTCACTCGTTAACGCGAGTTTTAAACTAGTCTGTGGGTAAGTTTATTTTATTTTACAAAGTTTTTTTTTTTTTTTTTTATCTCTTTGTACAAATTTTATGTGAGATTATCTTTTATAATATTTTTGAGATTCATCAAAAATAAAAAATAATTAATAAAACCTTGTTTTCAGTATATATGATTATTAATAGTTTTACTTTTTTTTTTCAAGGATAGTTAGCGAAATGCATGGATGCGTAAATAAGACATCCTTATTCGATAAGGATTTAATATTTCTCTGCATATTTGGGTTGCGAGGCGATAAACATGAACTAGAATCGCAAATTGGATTGAGATGTGCAAGCAGAATACGAGAAAGTCTTTTAGAAATGAAGAACATTAAATTCGTGACGATCGCAGTTACTACTGGAATGACATATTGTGGAGTGGTTGGTCATGTTTTACGAAGAGAATATACAGTAATAGGAATGTCAGTGAACAAAGCAGCTCGTTTAATGATCGCATATCAAAATAAGGTATATTTCTGAAAACACACACAAAAAAAAAAATATTTGTTGTTTGTTTCCATTCTATTCACTTTTATTTTTAAGGTAATATGTGATCGCGAGAGTTTCCTACGATCTCATCTTGAAACAAGACATTTTATACTGCAAGAACCGAGACATTTAAAAGGAATAACAAACGTTGGTCCTATTTATGAGTTTCAAGACAAACAGACAAAGTAATTATTTATTTAAAAGAAAGAGAGAGAGGGAGAGAGAGAGAGAGAGAGAGAGAGAGAGAAATTATTGTTTGTGAATAAGTCCCACATGCGCAAAATATCCGTTTGGACACGAAGAAATTGTCCAAATGAACACAAGCTAAAACGGCACATGATAGATCCCAGTCAGATATAATAAACAGCGGACATAGGAAATATCGAAAACTTTATTAGACACAGGTTTAATTGGAAACAATCTGAAACGGACACATCTCAACATGACAATCCCAATCACATACAGTTAATTGGACATAGAAGAAAAATTCAGATGAACACAAAGTACTCATAAAATCAAACGTGTGAAATTATAATCGTGTTTGATAGGAATAGCATAAATATATACAGGGTGTAAAAATTTTGATCAAGTCGAAGTATAAAAGTAGATTGCGTCAATTTGAATAGGAAAGTTATGATTAATAACGGCTCGATAAAACAAATTATAATATAAAGAAAAAACCAAAGAGCCTATGGTCCAGATTGAAGGTGGACGTTTAAATACAATATAAAACGCAGTATATTCCGAATGTTTCGATCACTTTTTATTGTTGCCCAGATAGCACATGAACATTAAATACATGTCCAATGAACGTCTATTTCTGGACGTTGGACAACCATTTCCAGTCCAAAAATGTTCATTGAATGTCTGATAGATATCCATAGTATGTACGTTTGATTTTGGACTTATAAATAACATCGAAAATAAGACTGTTCTCGAACATATTTTGGATTTATCTTGAATTTATTTTGAAGTCTAAAATAACTTCAAAATAAATCAAAACCGATCATATTTTAGCTGTATTATGGACATAATGTTTTAGGTATGTATATATATACCCAGACAGCACACAACGTCCACTGGACGTCCAAATTTGCGTCTTATTTAGTCGAAACGTCCATGAATATTATATGTATGTTTTACAAATGTACATTATTAGACGTACAAAGTGTATTTACATTTGAATGTTTTAAAGATGTCCATTTTATAGCCATTTTGTTTTGATATTTATGCTGCGCAATATTTTTCAGTTTTGTAGAATTAAATCCCAATTAATTTGATGGCGCAGTAGTTGAGCATAGGATTAATGATTTTATTAATTCTTTGAGTCCCGTTGTGACTCTTATTTTGTTTCTATTTTTTATTTTTTTAATTGTATTATTATTTTACAATAATTTTTAATTTGTTTTATATTTTAAAGTTATTACAATTATAATAATAAAGGATTAATTAAAACCGACATATAATTATTTAATATTTTAACATTGTTTTATTGAAAATAACAAAACTATGTAAAACTATGTAAAAATTACAAATTAGTGTGAAATACTAGCAAATAAAACAAAAAAATAGAAAAAAAAGAGAGAACGAAAACGACAATAGAATTTGAACTCGCGTGATAAGATTATCAATCTCACGCTTTACTTGTTTAGCAAATTGACATATGTATGTAACTGCATACCTACTTTAAATTTGGTTTTCTTTTTTTGAGTAGGTTTTAAGTAGGTTTTACTAATTAGGAGAAAACGGGGAACGGTGTTCAATGGGTCAGATTGATCATCTCATTTACAAAAAAGAATATCTCTAAACATGTATTTGGCAATATATTATATTTTTTAACACAAATATATCGTCAAATACATGATTAGAGATATTCTTTCTTGTAATTGAGATGATCGGTCCAACTTGCTTAGTTCCTGTGATCCTGTTCTCTCCTACTTAAATATGTTACTCATTTTTACTGTAAATCCGAGTTTATTTGTTACTATCTTATATGTCTATTTGAATTGAGAAAAACGTTTTACATAGATCCATTTGTGACCACTAAATACTTAAAATAGACAATTTTACAATGTCCAGAAGAGTAACACTGGACATCTTTAAAATATTCTAAAAATGTCAGAGGATATAATCTGAATAGTTTAAATATGTACAATACAAAACGTCCAATACCTCTGTTTTTAATATGTTTTTAAAACATTATTGTGCTATCTGGGTATATATGTATATACAGGGTGTCTGACAACGAACTATAAAGCCGACGTGTGTAGGTAGATCGAGTTATTCTGAACAGAAAAGTTTTTTACTATTTTGAAAAAATCGCAATAGTTATTGAAATATGAATTAATAAATGTAAGCCAATGAAAGCGCGGGGAGCAATGATCGGACTCTATAGGCGTGTACAATTATCAGCTCTACTCCTCGCTCGCCGCTGCTCGCTGCGTACCGCCGAATAGCGCCCGATCGCAAGAAACTGAGTCGTTCCGCGCTTGTTTGTTTACTCCGCCTCTCGTTACTAAGACATTATATGAGAGAAGCTATTTTTCTTTTCACCTGAAAATCGTGCATGCTTATAGAGTCCGATCATCGCTCTCCGCGCCTTCATTGGTTCACATTTATTAATTCATATCTCAATAAATATTGCGAATTTTGCAAAATGGTATATAACTATTATGTTCAGAATGACCCAATCTATCTAAATAATAAATATATAATAAATATATTTAAATAAATAATAAATATCTATATTTTGGCATAAAAAATAATGAGTTCCTATTTATTTATTTATTTAACACATTTGAGACCGATAACTCAGCATATGAATGTGCTACTGATTGTTTATTTATTTAATTTTTATTTTATTTAATAATTTTGTTACATACAAAAGAGAAACAATATTTAGAATAAAAAATAGTTTAAATATTGTATTATTGTGATTACAAAAATTAAATTAGCAAATGAAAAAGGTCACATCGAGCCAAAAAAGATATTAATATAATAATATAATGATTTAATGATCAACGCTTTAACATAAGTAATATAAAAAATACGCAAAATGTTTCGACTCTAACTGGAGTTTATATATTTGAACTATTTTTTATTTTATCATATTTCCACCGAAATGTAACTTACAATTTTTTCGTTTCTTTATGAGATTCTTCCCGTAATTAATCCTTTCGTTATTACGGACGAGATATCTCGCCAACATGATATCACTTATGCGACGCTTTATACGAGATAAAACTCGCGTCACAACTTTCGTTATTTGCTATAGACGAGATATCTCGTATACTTTAATTTGTCATCTAAAAATTTAGAATAAAGAATCCATTTAAAGACATTTTATTGATATCTCGTCCATAACACAGCACAATAGAAATTGCGACGCGAGATATCTCGTCATTAGCGTCATCTCAAGCGACATTGTGATGGAGAAATATCTCGTTCTCGGTAACAAAAAGATTAATTAAATAAATAAATAAACAGACTCATTATCGACACATCTTGATATTAGAATTATTTAGTTTCATTAACAAAACATGCAAGTAATCGTTCGTAATTTGCTAATTAAAATGAAACATCTATGTTTTCGCGATCAGCCATCATTATTTTTCATCTGCCATTATGTATATGCTATAGTATGTTGTTATGTTAGCTTTTCCTGCACTGTTGCTACGGGTAACAACCGTGAGCGCGCGAAGCGCGGCGAGCAGTCTTACGCGCGTAAGACAGCCCGACGTGTTTTGCGCGCTTACGGTGTTACCCGTAGCAATGAGAGGAACTAATATAATAGCATATACTTTGGCTGTGTTCTGAGTAACGCATAAAGCGCACAGACAGCATAGGAAGTCGTTCCGATTTAAACAATACAAGCATTGAAAGCGCTTTGATAGAGCTGAGAATTCCCTAGATTGTACTAACCGTACTGAATTCTTAGCACTTCTCCCAGCGCATTGACTGCTTTTATTCCTAAGGCAGTTGATGCGTTTGATGCGTTTATGCAGTTTATCCACGAAGTAAGTGTAAGATCGAACTCCGTGATACAAAAGTGATCCCGATGTTTACGGTTCATTGGAAGGGAATCCGCTTAAGAGAATAGTTTCTTATGGTTTCTTAGGGACGCCATTTGCAAAACTATGCATGTACACAACTAACACATGTACACATTTAGTATGTGTAACCTATCTTGTTACATATACGATTGCAGCGTAAGTATGCATACATTTATATAAAGAAGTTTATTTACACCTACGACGGTGAGTTGCGATTAGTGGAGATATTAGTAGAGGAATATTTCTAAAATAAAAAGATGCATCCTTGAGGAAACTTCATATATATATATATATATATATATACATATGTACATATATATACTCACTATACTCTTTATGTAATGAAGTTTCTTCACGGATGCATCTTTTTATTTTAGAAATAATCCTCTAATAATATCTACTAATCGCAACTCACCGTTCTAGATGTAAATAAATTTCTTTTTCTGGAAACCCCTCCTTTGGTCTCACATTCTCGAATTTATCATGCCATAGCTGCAGATTCCCTCCCAAGTCACAATGAACCATCACAATCAGGACCACTTTTGTATATGTCACGAGAAGTTCGATCTCTTTACTCTTCATGGGTCAAGTTATGTTTCAAATTGCAAATGGCGTCCAACCGTAAAAAATTATTCCCTTGAGCGAATTCCCTCCCAATGAACCGTAAAAATCGGAACCACTTTTTCCATTCGCGCGCTATCAAGTTCGATCTCCTTACTTTTTCTTCGTGATGCAGTCTATGCGCGCATTGATTAAATCGGAACGACTATAAAACCGTGTTTATAAAGACAATAACCTTTAACTTATGCCGGAAACGGAGAAGTTTAACTAAAAATTTACTGCTTTTGTTTATATAAAATTGTCGAATGAACTACTTGTCATCCTACAAGATTAAAAGTAAAATAAATTTTAAAAACATCCCAAGATTATAAGTAAAATAAATGTAACAAAATCAGATAGAAAATAGACTCACATACAAAAACAATGGGTTACCTAACTTTAGCATTTTTTAACATTTTTCAATAGCAGATAACTCCGCAACAAATCTTCGTTATCTCTCATCAAGATAAACAAAAGCTCAAATTCAAGCTTAAACATTTTTCTTAATAAAAACTTAAATTTACAAATGTTACGTCCTGGAGACTCCACGGTTCCCTTTTTCCTGCGACGCGACGCGCCAGCGCATAGCAAACCCTTTTTTGTAAGTAATAAAAAAACAATAAATAACCCGAACGGATCTTCTATCGTTTGGAAACTTAAACTTCAGACAATAAGAGAGCAAACGGAAATTATATTGCCCGAAAAAATAAACCGCGCCTGGCAATAACACGAAATTTTAGATAACGTGCAAGAAAAATTTACTATTCGAGCAGCTTTCCAAACAAACCCGGATATCTCCGGGTCATGAAAACGCCGCTTATAAAAATTAGAGCGGCCGGCGCAAATAGAAACTCCGGCATTTTCATTATAAGCAAACAGCAAGGGATCTATGCGACGTGATCGAAAAAACAACACTCTCTCTTTTTCCTTCTCCGAAAAATCGGACGAGGCGACCGAAGCGAGAGATCGTCGCCGATTGGCGATCTCGCAAGTCGCCCGACCGACTAATTAACA